GCTCACTGCAATCTTATTTTAAACAGTGTCCCACAGTTCTAGTCCCTCCCACAACAGCAAACAACTTCCTTGCATCATTAGGATGATGGTGCAATGTTGCTGTTGTACACGGGTAGTGTTCCTAGAATCATCAAATTCCTACAGTGTGGAAACAGACCCTTTGGCCAAACAAGTCCACACCAACCGTCCGAAGAGCATCCCATTCAGATCCACACCCCACCCCCGTCCTTTCCCAGTAACCCTGCATTTCCCATGGATAAAACACCTAATCTACACATCCCTGAAAACTCTGGGCAATTTAGCATGGCCAAAACACCTAATCTGCACATCTCTGGACTGTGGGAAGAAACCGGAGCACCCAGCAGAAACCCACGCAGACATGGGGAGAATGTGCAAACTCCACACAGACAGTCGCCCGAGGGTGGAATTGGAGGGTGGTCCCTAGTGTTGTGAGGCAGCAGTGCTAACCACTGAGCCACCGTGCCACCCGTTGTTGTTGCTGCAGCTGTAACCCATCCAGGCAAGGGGAGAGTGTTCCATCACACCAAACCTTTGCCTTAGGCAGGCTTTAGGGAATTAGGAGGTGGGGGGAGGGTGCAATGGCCTAGTGGTATTATCACCGGACTGTTAATCCAGAGACCCAGATAACATTCTGGGGACCTGGGTTAAAATCCCACCACAGCAGATGGTGGAATTTGAATTCAATAAATATCTGGAACTAAGAATCTAATGATGACCATGAATCCATTGTCAATTGTCAGGAAAAACCTATCTAGTTCACAAATGTCCTTTAGGAAAGAAAACTGCTATCCTTACCTGGTCTGGCCTACATGTGACTCCAGACCCACAACAATGTGGTTGACTCTTAACTGCCCTCTGGGCAATTAGGGATGGGCAATAAATGCTGCCTAGCCAGTGATGCCCTCATCCCATGAATGAATAAAAAAAAAGAACTACTTGCCACAGGAATTTCAGCCTCTGATTTGCTCTGAAAGCCACAATATTTATGTGGTTGGTCCAATTCAGTTTCTAGTCAATGGTAATCACCAAGATTGTGATCCTGCAGGATCCGGTGATGTTATTAACATTGAATCTCAAGGGGAGATGGTTGAAGGCTCTCTTGTTGGCGATAGTCGATGCCTGCCACTTGTGAGGCATAAATGTTACTTGCCACATCAACTCAAGGCTTGGTTTTGTCCAAGCCTAGCTGCATTTGAACACAGATTGCTTTAGTACGCGAAGAGTAACAAATGTGTTGAACATTGCGCAATCAGCAGTGAACATGCCCACTTCTGACCTTATGATGGAGAAAAGGTCAGTGATGACTGAAGATGATTGGGCTTTTGGACTCTATCATGCAGAGATGTCCTGAAATGAAGATAATTACCCTTTAACATCTACAACCATCCTCCTTTTTACTAGGTATCACTCGACCCAAGGGATTTTCCTCAATTCCCACTGACTTCAGTTTTGCTAAGGTTCCCTAGTAGTCATTTGATAGCACTGTTGACAACCCCTTCCATCAGATTGTTGATGATTGAGAGTATATTATTAATTGGCTGTGTTGAATTTGTCCTGCATTTTGTGGAAAAGAACACAACTGGGCAACTTTCCACAGTGCTGGGTAGATGCAAATGTTATAGTTGTACTGGGGCTACTTGGCCAGAGTCACAGCTTGTTCTAGACTACAAATCTTCAATATTATGGCCAGAATATTGTGAGGGCCTATAGCTAATTTCTTGATATCATTTTGCTTGTCCACATTCTTTGACTTTGTGTTCGATTTTCTGAGATAGTTAAAGCTGAAAAAGGGGTAGGTTAATGTACTCATCTCTTTAACTGCAGAAAGTTTCAAGTACAAATGCCCCAATTTCCATCACTACTTCTCTCTAAAAGTGCCCAAGGTGCACTGTAAAGATTGAAGGCTTTTGTTCACCTTTCTTTACATCACGACAGGAAGGAGAAGAAAAAGTAATTATACTTGTGAAGCACACTCCTTTTCGATAAGAGCTACAGTTTATCGTATCAACCAGCATCAAGATTTTGTCTGTGGGCACTCACCTCTCCCCGTAAAAGACAAATGAAGGATTAATCCAGGATGCTGTCTAATCTTAATTACACTGCATTGAATCTGCACAATTCATACTTATCCTGACAGCATTCAAACCTTTTGCTAATTAAATGTTCATACAGCACTCTTTTTAAGATATTCACTCAAACAGAATTAACTGAGTTATCTGAAAATCTATTCTGTGGACTGATAACTATTCATAGCTCTGTGGGAAACAAAAAAAAAATCTTCCCGTTTCAACTTTTGCTTAAGGTTTGTTAATTTTAAACCTGCATTTTCTGGTCTGTGCTTACAGTCTAAATTAAATATCTGCTCGCATCTGCATTATCCATTTCATGGTGCATTTCAAAAAATTGTTTGCCTGCATTCAATTTATTTCCTGTAATCGAAACAACTTTAGCCACATAAATCTCTCCTTTATAATGCATAGTTAAGTCTCTGAGTTCTGGTTGTTATTCTCTAAATCCTTCCCAATACATCAAGGTCTTTTGATCAACAATCACTACTCCTCTGAACACTTCCCTGTAGAATTCTGTTCATTTATGATCAATGGTTTTGCCATCCATGCCCTTATTGTGCAATGACAATATTGACAGCTTGATTTTATCTGAAATGTAGTTCGTGAGCAGCAACTCTATGTACCTTATTAGAGGCTCTTCACTCAGTACACCACCACCCCTGCCCAGCAGCCAAAATTGTCATGTCACATCTTGGTCTCTCTCCATATTCCTCAGGTTCTTTCTCATGCTTTAAACATCATATTCTGACCAATCCTTTTCTCTTTATTCAGAATATACCCTCAGACCTACCCCGATATTCTATTCAGATATTCTCTTTTGTTCCTTCTACAGCCTCTGCATTGTAACTTCTCAGGCCTGATCATCATGAATCTAACCAAACCATGGTGGAGGCAGGCTACTGGAAAAGCCAGCGGCAACATCATTTGTGCTGATGTTTCACCTCAGTTCTTGTTACCTGAAACTTTCCAAACCAGGGGAGAGAGCAGGTACGTGAACTCCCATTTAGTTTGTTTTAGGACATTTAACTTAGTGAAGGCCAAATTTGTTAAACACCGACCTTCCTTAATCCCAATCCCTTTAACCCTGATCTTGAACAATTGTGAGAAATTGACAGACATTGTCATTATCAATATAGAGGCCATCCATTAACCAGCCTATACTGTTTGACCTTGTTTATCAACCAAACCTCCTTGGCCATCGCTTGAACACTCACCCCATTTCTAATTTCTCCAGCATCATCACCACACCCTTTCTAATCTTAACTCAAGTCTGTTCCTTTGTCCTTAAAACCAGTAAATTGCTTACTGCATGGCCTCCCTTCACAGTTCATTCCAGTCGACACAGTAAACACAAACGACTGTGATATTGTCAAATACCCTGCTTGTTCAAAATTCCTTGAATACATTGTCACCTGCCAAATCTGTACCCAGATTTCCTGACACTACCTGTTTGAATGTTTTCATCCAGGTTTCCATAGCTCCCAATGCATTAAAATAGCCTCATTAAAGTCACATATATAATTCTTTAGAATTCTTTATACTGTCCTTGTCTCCTCAATCTCTCTAGCCTTTGACACTGGCAAATGCAACAACCTCCTCCAAAATCTCTTCTCTCTTGTCCGCCTCGGTGGGACTATCCTCACTTGTTTCCATTTTACCTACTAGACATTGCCAGAGCCTTTCCTGCCATGTTATTGAACTTTAATCAAGACTTCCAAAAATGGCTGAGCTACATTTCCCTAGCTTTATGACTGATGGATGGAACCACTGCATAAGCATTAAATTTAACCCTTTGGGTATACCCTCAAAGTTGTTTGATGGATAATACAGAGTCTTTGAGAGATGTTTGTGCTGCACTTGCAGAAACTTAATGAACTGGAGATTAAAATCATATATTTCAGGTATCATAGTAATACTTTTTCACCACATCATGAAATCTATAAACACACATCTGATAAATTTGGCAAATCAAATTTGATAAATTTTCAGACTGTGCTGTTGATGAATGAGAAATGTAAACACAGAATGAAATTATACTTTTGAAACTATCTACAAAGAAAGATGCAATGGTTTGCAGTTTCATGAAGGTGAATACACAGACACTCATTCAGCAGCTTTCTATTTCAAAATTCAAGATAAGCTTGCTAAAAGAGACAGTCAATCTACTTTAACAAACATTAGTTTTAGAAGGTTCAATACAGTCAAATAGATGTGCTCTGAGAGAATATGTGTGCCCTACAACATCAATATATTTCTCCTGTCCCCTACGGGATACAATTTCAATATGGTACATACATTGAATGTAAATTTAATATTTGGCAAAACAAGCCTAGAAAATAATTAGGCCAGTGTGTATAAGAGAGAATCTAACCGAATAGACCACAAAGGAACGAAAGCACAGTGTTTACACTGTAATGTTAATGTGGTTTTATCTATATTTTTCTGTTTGCACTATCCTTGCCCATTTTTAAAATATTTGTATTGTATGTATCCTTATTTTTCATTTTTCTGATGTTATTTCCATTTAGCTCACATAGGTATATTGTTTTAATTTTTTTGTATTGACATTTTTAATCAATAGAGCTTCACACAATCCCGCATAAATCCAGCACTTGACAGGTGAGGTAAAGCTCTCATCCATTTTCAACTCACTGGTGCTCATCAGTCAAAACAAACGTATTCACAGGTTTGAAATCGATGGCAAGCACAATAAAAATCTACCCCAAACAATTCCTACACAAAAAAAATCATAGCTTGCAAATGAGGTCACAAGATGAAATGTGGATTTCCTTGTTCAGGTTTTCAACATCTTCACAAATAATTGCTATTTGCTTTGCTTGAAATAGAAGTTATTATTGCTTTTTTTGTTTTACCCTACAGTCATGTTTTACATTTTGAAACATAAATTACCAGACATCCTCTGCATCTTCATCACATTCAGCCCCGTACTTGCATTTTCCACACTTTACATGTTTTTGCCGTCTTTCTGTTCCTGAGCCTTCATATTCTGCACAGAAACAATGTTGAGATGATTAGATGTTTCTGACAACATATTTAACAAGTAAAATAGAACACAAATAATACTTCTGATGACGTTGTATAATTTTATGCATACTTAAAGAAAATGACTGTCACTGATCTTAACGCATCCTGATGCACTGGTGGGCAAATTTCGATCATTCCCCAAGAATAAGTGTGATGATTGCAATGTCGGATTGACCCATACCATTCCTTACAATGCAAGTAGCAAGAAAACTGTCCTGATAATTTAAATGATCGAAGCAAACTATCTGGTGCTTAACATGCTCTTGAGTGACTACAAGCCTCTGTAGGGCAAGGAAAGTTATATGGGGCTAACACGACTTAAAACCAGCATGCATCTCTTACAAAAGGTGCAGTAGGTGCTGAAAGGAACTGGGGAAATACCTGACTTGCAAGAAGAGAGCATGCATCATGGACATCTGATGCAGCACTGGAGGCCTTGGTATAGGAGGTAGACAGGAGGAGAGAGGCTTTTGCTCCACACAGAATCAGAATGCCCTACTCTGTGAAGGTGGGGGAGCAGATGGCTGTTTTTGTCAATGCGAACAGAGCAACCCCCATGCCCTGGATGATATCCAGGAACAGGTCAACTGACCTTACACACAATTCATCTCCAAATGCCATATATTTACAACTGAGCCTCTAATATCACCAACTGCTCACTTCATCACACACTAATTCATCAATGATGTATTCCTAACATTTGTAGTTTCACTTCACCTTCACACACTTAGAAATACTGCTAGTCTGACACCCATGTCTCACAGCTTGAATTCAGTGCCAGCTATTCAACCATGACAGCCATATTACCCAAACACATTACATTACACCCACTGTCATATTTCCTTCTTTCATGCAAGACAAGGTGGCAGAGAATAAAAGGGTGGAAGTGCCAATCAGCAGAAGACACTGCAGTGCTGTCCTCACTGGGGGAGGAGATGGTGGTCATAGAATCATAGAGGTCAACAGCACAGAGAAAGGGTCTCGGCCCACTGAGTCTGTGCTGGTCAAAAACAACCACGTAACTATTCTACAGTCATTTCATCAAACACTTGACTCATAATCTTGTATGCATCGCCATTGCAAGTAGACATCTAAAAATTTCTTAAATATTATGGGGCTGTAATGATTGTAACAAGGTCAGCCAGGTGGACCTCATAGAATATGAGTTCCCTGATTGGGGCTGTTAATCTGATCTAATCAGGGAGCTCTGGCTGACAGAGATAAACACAGTGTCAGAGGTTCTGTTCACTCTGAGAGCTGACTGTGAGGGAGATGGATCAGTGTTAATGATTCTCCACGTGTAAATAAAGGGTGACTTGGTGAAGGGATACCGGCTTCTATGGAGTTATTTCTACCACCCTTACAGGCAGTATGTGGCTATCATTACAGCAACCATGAAAGGCCTTGGCCAGGGCAGGGAGGAAACGATTAACGATGCAGAAATCTAAACCTCTTTCTCACATCTCACTTCACCATTACTCTAAAACCTCTTCTCACTTACACGTATCAGATGGTTTAAATATGTAACTGTTACCTTCCTCCCCACAGCCTTAACTTATGCTTTTCTGCCATCAGATATTCAAGAACTACAACCTGATCTGGCAGTGGTGGGATAGCAAGAAGTACAGGATGAAGTGTCTGATGGTGAAGGAACATTGTTACTAACATAATTTGGATGTTCTCAAGATCTAACAGGAAACAGACAGTCAGAATAAATGGATCATTTTCGGGTTGGCAAAATGTAACTAAAGACATTCCACAGGGATCCATACTAGACATTAATAAATCACCATTTCTATTAATGGAGCAAGTGAAGGGACCAACTCTATTGTAGCCAGATTTGCTTCCGATATGAAGGTTGGTAGGAAATCACATTGTGAGAATACTTGCAATGCATTTAGACAGGTTACATGAGTGGGCAGAAATTTGGCAAATGGAGTGTAGCATGTGTAAATATGAGGTTGTCCATTTTGATAGGAAGAACAGAAAGGCAGAATATTATTGAAATGCAGAGAGACTCAGACTGTAGTGGTACAGAGGTATAGGAACAGGAATAGTCCATTCAGCCCATTAAGCCTGCTCAGTTATTTAATGTGATCATGGCTGATTAAACACCTCAATGTCTTTTATCCACACCATCATCATAACACTTTACACAGTCAGTAATGAGAAATCTATCAATGTCTACTTTAAACATTCTCAGAGACTGAGCATCCACAGACTTCAAGCCAGAGTATTCCAAAGATTCATAACCCTCTGAATCTCTGAGAAAAAAAAAATTATCCTCAATTCAGTCCAGCCTAAATGGCACCTCCTTGTTTTTAAATTGGGACCAGGGGAACCATCTTACCTGTATCTATCCTATCTATGCCTTTAAATGATATCTTTTTTTAAATTTCAGTGTGAACACCTCTCATTTTTGAAACTCCAGAGAAGACAGGTCCAGTTTGCCCAATCTCTCTTCATAGGCCAGTCCCCCAGTCCTCAGAATAAGTCTGGTGAATCTTTGTTGCAGTTTGTCCATGTCAGAAATATTCTTCCTGAGATAAGGAGACTGAAGCTGCCACAGCGCTCCTGTGCAGCTAACCAAGCTGCTATAGAACTGAAGCAAAACATCACCACTCCTGTACTCACATCCTATTGTGATAAACGCTTATATTCCATTAGCTTTCCTAATAGCTTGCTGCATCAATGTGCTAGCCTTCAATGACTTATCAACAAGGACACCTAGGTCCCTTTGTATATTTACACATTCCAACTTCTTGTCATTTCAGAAGTACTCTGTGCATCTGTTCCTCTTACCAAAGGAGGTAATCTCACATTTTTTCCACATAGCAGTCAATCTGCCATGCTCCTGCCCACTTACTAATGTTGTCCAAATTCTCCTTTGCATCTTTTTCACAACTCACATCCCTGCTTAGCTTCATATCATACACAAATTTGGAAATATTATATTTGATCTTCAAATTCAAATCATTGATATATATTGTCAACAATTACTGATTCTTGCTAATTAATGGCAATTGTGATTTTACACTGTCATAACTACAGTCATGTACGCTCCATCCCACAGACTGTGTGTTCTGAACGTGTCCATATTAGTATATACAATCATACAGTCATAGAGTCTTACAGCGCAGAGACAGGTCCTTCAGCCCAAACAGGTCCATGCCAACCAAAATGTCCATCCACACTAACAGCATTTCCCTGCACTTGGCCCATATCCTTCTAAGCCTTTCCTACCCAGATGTTCGTCCAAATGCCTTTTAAACATTGTTAATATACCCACCTCAACCACTTCAGCTGGCAGCTCATTCCATATGTGTACCACCCTCAGGTTCCTGTGTATTCTTTCCCCTCTTACCTTAAACTGATGCCCTCTAGTCCTCGATTCCCCAGCACTGGGAAAAAGACTGAGTGCATTCACCCTATCCATATGTCTCACGATCTTATACATTCCTATAAGATCCCCTGTCAGTCTCCTATGCTCAAAATAAAAAAGTTCTAGCTTGTTCAACCTCTCCCTATAACTCAGTCCCCTGAATCCTGGCAATATCCTTGTAAATTTCTTCTGAATTCTTCCCAGTTTAATAACATCCTTCCTATAGCAAGGTGACCAAAACTGAACACAATACTCCAAATGCGGCCTCAGTACAATTACAACATAACTTCCCAACTTCTGTACTCAGTGCCCTGACTGATGAGGGCCAGTGTGCCAAAAGCGTTCTTCACTGCCCTGTCTACCTGTGACTCTACTTTCAGAGAACCGTGCACCTGAACTCCAAGGTCCCTCTGCTCCACTACGATCCTTAACGTCCTACCATTCACCATGAAAATCCTACCTTAATTTCACTTTCCAAAATGCAACATCTCACACTTATCTATATTAAATTGCATTTGCCACTCGTTGGCTCACTTCTCCAGCTGATCAAGATCCTGCTGCAATTTCTGATAACCTTCCTCACTGTCCATGATACCGCCTGTTTTAGTGTCATCCACAAACTTACTAATCATGCCTTGTACGTTCTCATCTAAATCATTGATATAGATAACAAACAGTAATGGGCCCAGCACCAATCCCTGAGGCACACCACTAGTCACAGGCCTCCAGTCTGACAAGCATCCTTCAAGTATTACTCTCTTCTTCCTACTATCAAGCTAATTATGTATCCAATTTGCCAACTCTCCCTGGATTACATGCGATCCTTCCCTAACAGAATTGTGGGTCTACCTACACCAAATGGGCAGCAGTGGTGAAGGAAGTTCACTACCACTTTCTTAAGGGATGAGTGGTAAAGCCAGCAAAGCCCACATGGTCATGTACTACTCAGTCCACACCTAGATTTGCAATGTTCTATCCATGTACAGTATATTCACTGCATTTGATGGTTGAGATTTCAATAGGGTCCCATTTTCAGTGTTATTTCCTAGCCTCTGTGCCACCGCTCTCCCAAAGAGGAACTCTAGGCTGAGGTGACGTAATCTTTCTGCCTCACTCTCAGGCATGCAGCTGTACTCCTGTTTCCTGGCTTCTTCAGGGGGAGACATGTGCCAGCTATTCCCCGAGAACTGTGTATGTATTTGTGTGTAGCTTACAGTGGGTTTTTGGGCATTTTTTTTGTGGTGCTTGGCACATTGGAAATGAACGTGTAGAAAATAGATGATCAAATCATTGCCAAAACAAACTTTTTGTTCTCTCTTGCTCAGTGCATAAAGTGTAAAGGCAATAAACAAAAGTAAAATTAAAACAATTGCTAAGAAATAAATCAAAATCAAAACAATGTATATCTTGTAAAAATGAATCTAAATTGAGATGAGGCAGCATGTGTGCAGGGAAAGCAATGAATTGTATGCAGTCCTATCGACAATGAGTAATCAAATCCTAAGATAGAATTAGAAGACTGTAGGCTTATAACCAAGTATATACATGTGCATATAAATATAAAAATACAAGTATATATG